CCAGAAAGTTCAAATTTGGTAGGAGTACCCAAGGCAGGGTGGGAACCCTAATGGTGGTTGGCAGGATCGAGCTACAGAGGGCGGGGTTTGCCCCAAAATTGTCAATTTGGCCCTAGGGCGTTCAAACTTAGCAGGAGTATAATCGGCAGGATGGGAACACTAATGGTAGGTGGGAGGACCGTACCCCGCCCATGAGAAATAAATGTCTGAGCGAAAATCCATAAATCCTGGATAATAAATGGACGTGGAAAGGGAAATCAGTAGGAGTGGGGGGACAGGATGGGATCATTGACGATAGAGGAGGCCTAAGAGAACAAGATCCAATCACCACTTGAATCCTAGCGTCTTTGTTATTTACGATTTAGCTGTGATTCTTTGATATGTTTCATTCGGCAAGAAGGTTAAGTGCACTGATAGGGACCGATTATGAAATTTGGTTCACTTCTTGCTTACGACCGCTACCCAGCGAAGTTTGCGATTCTATTAAGGATCACGGTATCCTTCTGCTTTGATATCATTCATGGCAAAACTTATCCGACCGCTAACAATCTTGAATTCCCATTCAATGATGTATCCGTAGAGAAGAGGAGCTACATTAATTAAGACGTTTGATAATGGTATTATTATGACTCGACAACATTTGTGAGTGCCATTCAAGGCTTTGAATGCCTGCCTACCAGTTGAGCCTTAATGGGTCATTATTTCCAACATGAACAGCGACAGATCGAGACAGACAGATTTTAATTAAAGACATGGGTATCGGCACATTTTGAATATTGTTCGCATGCCCTATTGTTACTCTATCGAACTTCGTGTACCGAAAAGTATCATTCGTTCCAAAGAAGGAGTGTGCTGTTTGCCGTTTATCACGACCCTATCCTAAGAAGGAGGGAAGACCGGCGTTAGCCGGGCGTTCTGACTGTTTCTATATATAATGCGGTAATTTTGTGTGTCTGTTTGTGGGTCGGTATGTGCATCCTTCCGAAAGTCACTTAGGCACGACGAAGAGTGTGAATGTCAAGTGAGCGCGGCGGGGAAACTGTTATGAAATGAGGAGTCAACCGATACTGTTCATATTGGTTCTCTAACAAGTCGTAGGTAAGCGGGAGTGGGCATGTGGTGCACGCATTAGCGTGCGTAGCCCAACTGGTGTCAAAAAGTCAAAGCTAGATCGTAAATAACAAAGGCGCTAGGAGGTAATTGGTGAATGGATTTTCTTATCTGAGGCATCTTCTTTGTCAGTGTTCCCATCCGTCCTCCTCCTATTGATTTTGCTCTTTAAGTTCACGGGATCAGAAGTTATGGATTCCATTCATTTATTTCGCGGAAACCCCGTCCCTTGGGGGCGGAGTCCGGCTCTACTACTCACCATAAGTGTTTCCATACCGCCTCCTGTCTTCCTACCAAGTTTGAGCACTTTGAAGCCAATTCACGCACTCGACGCCTTTTATGGGAGGGGGTCCGGTCCTACCACCTATCATAACGGTTTCCATCCTGCCACCTATACTGCCATGTTTGAACACCCTAGGGCCAAATTGACTATTTCGGCGCGAAATCCCGCCCCCTGTGCAGGAGTCCGGTCCTGCCACTTACCATAGGTATTCCCATCCTGCCCCCCTTACTCCTACCGAATTTGAACGCTCTAGGTCCACGGGGACAGGAGTCATGAATTTCCGGTCAGACACACACACACGCAGACACACCGACAAACCAACAGACACACTTAGCGAATTATATAAAGTAGGATTCTTAAAGGAGAGAAGTTCCGTTGATAAATATTATGGTGTTAGCACTACTCAACAACATTTGTGAGAACCAATCAAGGATTCGGTTGCCTGATAGTTAAATCGATAATGGGTACTATTTCTTAGATGAAGAGCAACTGATGGAGACTTCCAATCATTTACATAAGCACCTTCACTCCTGTTAGTACTATGTCGAAATTTTGTGCGCGGAAAAGTGCCATTTGTTTTGAAGAAGGAGCTGTGGGTTAGCTGATTATTATGACTCTCTCTTAAGAAGGAGGGAAGCGTGGCTTGAGCCAGGCGATTTAACAGAATAGTGTTCTCTGTGACCATACGCATTTAGCGCCTCTCTTTAATTACTTTGCTCTTTAATCACTCATGGCCAGTTCACCCAAACAAACTCGGTTCACCATGAACCTCTTAACCCTATTAATAGTCAAATAAATATGCAGTCGCGGTCAAAAGTTTGGAAACCTTTTATTTTTCGATATAGCGCGGGCACTGAATTATATGACTGTCTCAATTCTGCGTAGTAGGTAGAAAAGCAAATGAAGAACACGATAAGCACTGTGTTCTTTTGAGACCAGATGATTAGAGTTAAAAAACATGATTTATTGTGAAAAGGGCGCGTCAAAAGTTTGGAAACTCCACAATAACAGGGAAAATTGATCATGGTAACATGAATTTACAAACAAAATATCAATACTTCGTTGGATACCCAAGGGAATCGACTCTTGCTTTGCATCTTCTTGGCATTGAATCGATTAAGGCTTCAATTTTTGACTGTGACATCAGAGCCCACTCTCTAGACAATAGATTGAATTTTTCGTCAAGAACCCCAACAGGGAACTGGCTTGTACGACGTGTTAGCTCTTCCCAAAGGTGCTTTATAGGATTTAGGTCTGGGCTCTGACTCGGCCACTCCATAACGTTGATTTCCTTTGACTGGAGGAAGTCGGCCACGAGACGGTAAGTATGCTCCGGGTCATTATAGTGTTAAAAAGTCCACCGTGTCGGCAGGTTCTCGTTGGCGTACGTGAGCATTACATTCTCAAAATTCCTTGTACTGAGCCGAGTTCATATTACCCTGGATACGAACGAGTGGACCAACGCCGGATAGACTGAAACATCTCCACAACATAAAGCTTCCTCCACAGTGTTTGACCGTCGGGATTTGGAACTCTGGATCACATCGCTTATTCACGGGATGTCTTATATGCATTATGCCATCACTCCCGAAAAGGTAAAACTTCGACTCGTCGCTGAACAAAACTTTTTTCCAGTCATCTCTATTCCAGGCGAGGTGCTTGCGCGCAAAGTTAGAGGCACTGTTCACGAAAAAATGGTTTCGGAGATCTGCACATGGTTTGAATTCGACGTCCCCTCTGATACTATTTGTGCAGGAATGAGGTCGGAAAACGGTCTGGATAGGGCACAATAAGGGCAGGAACAGTGGGGGACGGGAGGCCTCCGCCCCTTGCTAGGCTGACTACGAGTTCTAATTGTCCTTCAACACATTCGCATTGGAGCGAGTTGTCTGCTTGGGTGTGTTGTCTGCTATTGCAGACATTGCGTCGCCTTCGTGCACTCGCCCGAACACTCCATTAACCGCCGTTCTTCCAATGTGAAACTCGTCCAACCCCCTTTCCAGCTCTTTTTTGACCCTTTCTATTTCTTTTTGTTCATCGTTTTTTGCGCTTTTTCCGTTGTTATCGCTTTATTCTAGAGTAGTTCTATGAATTCCCGTCAAAAAAGGGTACTCTGAATTTATCGTAAACGGTGCCTTTAAGTCGGGCCTTCCGGTTCTTTGCGATGACCAGTGTTTTTTTGCTAGGACGTCGTCCAAAGAGTCTTCCGGCCCTAAGCAGACGTTGAACAGTGCTCTGGCTGATAGAAATCGCAGAAAAAGATGTTTCTTGTTTACGAATATCCTAAGCCGTCGCGCGCGGATCGCCCATCGAAGTCGTAAGAATTAGGGAGTCGGCTCTTGGTGTTGTCTTTCGTGGTCTTCCGGAGCGAGACTTCCTCATCACTAATCCTCGGCTTCGATAACGCCTGAAAACCTTGGAACTTGTGCTTCTAGCGAGATTATATTGTCGGGAAAGCACACTCATCTTCGTTCCGGAACGGATGGCTTCAATAATTGCTTCCTGGACGGATGCTGGAACTTCTTTACCTGATCTCATCTGAAAACCGCTCGATCTCAATATACCATGCTTTGATTAAACAATACGAAAAATCCACCAACCTGGACAAGAAGAAGCCAAAACGATAAGGCAGGTAGCGAGTTTCCAAACTTTTGACGCACTGTTCTTCGAACTTTTCTTATTTTAGGAATCAGACTTTTGATTTTCGTAAAACCACATTGCATGACATATTTCCCACATGATTTTCTATCTAATATGTAACTTTGGTATAATTACAATCTCAACTGGCCGCGCTATTCGAGGAATTAAAAAAAGTTTCCAAACTTTTGACCGCTACTGCTTCTTCTACTGTAGCTCCTTCTACTGCTACTAGAAGTTTTCTTTGTTGCTTCCAACTCATAACAGTGTGTCCATTACGGGTGTAAAAATCGAAATTGGAATTTGTCCCTTTCGATCAATTGTGATCGCCCACTGTGAAGTATCCCTCATACCGTGGGTGTGCACACGAAAAAAATATGCTCGTCGTCATCTTGTTGAGAATCATCTGCATATTCGACAAGAATCCCATCTTTTCGTCGTCCGGAAGTACCTTTCTTCTTTCTGGGAAAAATTTTTAGTGAAATGTTACTTTCCATGAAGTTCCTCATTACTATCATGCCCCGTTTGTCTGTAAAGTTTCCATGTAAATGCTTCNATCACAGTTGAAGAGTTCATCGGACGCACAAGCAGACCGACAAACGTTAGAACATTTTACCATAACAGATTTTGTAACAACAGGCTTACTCTATCAATTTCAGTGACATATCATTAGTAATCCCACCAGCATAAAACCCCTTCTCCCTCTATCCCTGACTGGCAAAGTAGCGGTTTCTGTTATTTCGCTTTTCCACCTTCATCAGATGTTACCACTCCACCAAGATTCCGCAGCACCCCATGCAATCCTCACGGGTGGCAAAGCTCCTCTGTTGACACAACTGACATAACTCGATAGTTATTCTCTTCCAGCACAAATTACAAGACTGAACCAGTCGTCACGTTATTTCTCATATCCACGAATTCATAATACATCAAATGAGAAGTTGAAGTGTCAAAGCCTCTGTGAGAATTTATGTTAGAATCCTCGACGTCTGTCTTCTATGAGATCCGTTTTCATAACCTTGTTAGCGAATCGGGAGTCACCAATCTCATTTATAAAAGAGCATGGCAAGTGCTTCAGTGTCGTTATCGTTAAAGCCGGGTATGGTAGGGAAGGTCCAATCTCGACTTCGTTGTTAGTTTTACACCCAATGGAATAGATCCAAAAAACTGAAGTTGATCGCTCGAGTCTGAGTTCATCAAGCACTTTCACTCTACGGCTGTTTAGATTTTTTGTTGTACTAAACGACAAAATTTTCCTGTGAATATATTAAGGTAACTATTCTGAAGCCAGTTCTATCTTAAACTCATTCCGAAGAAAGTATCCTGGATATGCAGCGGTAGAGTTGAGGCTGATAGGAATGTTGAGGAGGCGAGCCGATACGGAGAGGTCAGTTTGACAATCAAATACAGTTGCGACTTTGACATTCGCGGTTCGGCCACTGCCCTTCTTTACAATGAAATTAACAACATAATTGTATTCAAAAATTTGCAGAAGTCCTGACTATTCCGGAGTGATCAGTAAGTTCGAGAAGCTAATTCACTCATCTGACACGCCTCGCCATCTCAGCAGCTATTATTCCGTTAAATTGGCTAGGTGTGTTTAATATGATATCGAATGTGTACTTCAATTTTTTTNTTTTTTTCGTATTTCGAAAGCCGAGATTTTTGTTTTCGCAGACTAGGAATAAAGTGATTCGATGCAATTTCCAAATAGTATAGAACACTCGTTTTGAGCCAACACTTCAAAAATGATTAACAAGTACATTACTCTTGATTTTTTTATTATAGGTTTCACTTGAAGACTCGGAATGATCGACGATTAGCCGAGAAAATTATACGAAGAGCTCTAGAAAGAGATCGAGTAAGTCGCTCATTAGAATAATTCTGTCACTTCGTATTCGCCTTTGTTACACGTAGCAGTTCGGAGGGGAGTCACACTCTTTTGGTAAGCTAGTGTTTTACCGGTGAATGCGAAGCTTAACTTATCAGAGTGACCTCACCGAGTGACTCCCTTCTCCGGTTCTTGCCACCGTAAGCTCATTTGGCTATAGACTACTGAGTTTCAGGACAATATCCAGCTTCTACTCCAACTTATTGATCTCGCGTTCACAAATCCTGAGTTCTCGCAGGTAAACATATTTTTGATGCTTTTTGTCCAGCTAGGGTCTGACTCTACAGTCTTCACATATTCTATCGGGGAATAACCGGCTATAGCGATCAGGCCAGATTGGTCTGGTCTTCTGAAAGTCGTATAGTTTAGTGTATCGACTCGAGCATACATGTACCAAAATTCATGGCGTGCTTGATGAGGTCATTTAGAGGGAGCCGTGAGACTCAATGCTATGAATAAATGATTCTTCGAAGGAGTTCTGGTTGAAGCGTCTCGCCTCAATAATAGATTTGCAGACTGCAGTGATCGAAGCATTTGATTTTGCTATTAAATCAAACATTTCCGACGCTGACAAACTGCAGTTCAGTCAGAGGAAATTGGATTTTCTCGAGGATCTCTCTTACGATATTGATGTGTGAGTTATTTGGCTTGACCAATCAACTGAATATAACCACTATGTATACGTTCTAGTTTGCAAGAGCACCAGGACGCACATGTAGCTTTATTAGCTGAGGTAGAGAATCCGCCAACAACAACACGAAAGCGAAGGTATAATGGCAAAGATGATTCGAGATACTACAAGTGAGTACCACAGAAACTTAAAAAAGATTCGAAAAAATTTCGAGTTTTCAGTGATAGAGATCGCGATGTGCCTTCGCGAAGAAGCCGCTATTCGGATCATCGGGATTCGTATCGTGACAGTCATCGCAGCATGCGGGACGCCGGATACTATGTTTCATCGAGTGGTAAGCTAAGTAGTGAACAGTGGTTGTTGCTTCGTAGCTGCTCACCCTCCTCCCATTTGTAGGGAGTCTGCGATGACAGATATTGAAGAAACGATTCCAGTAACTAACAATGTGTGGTAAACTCCTCCAACCCTTAATTTGAATTTTCGGGTTTTCAAAGGGATGAGTGGAGGAACTCTGAGTTGTACAATTTTCAAATGAGTGCTCGTTACTAAAAAAGTGCAGGAATCATGAATATTTGATCGAGTTTTGAACTACTACAAATTGCTCTATGATAACCCTCTATTTCTTCGCGCCTATATTTTCTCACTACTCACTGAGGAGAGTCTATCAGAGCAGGCGAGCGCCGACGTGACTTTACGCCTTCGTAGGATTCACTATAGAAAATGCAGCATCGCTCATGCTCTATCTCCATGTTGAATCAGACAGCAATCGAACTCAACCTGAGATAACGTCCCATGACTGTCGCGTTTAGGCTGTATAGCATTGCGATTTGGTATGGGTCATGTATGGGGAGAGGAATGATTATACGACAAAATCGCATGTGAACGTCAGACTTCCTATCCAGAGTGCATGGTCCGCCGTTTAAAAAAACGCGAGGAAGTTCGCGAATCATTGTTTCAGTCGTTTATTCACGAAAAGATTCTCAAGTTTACCGTATCAGATAGCTCTTCGCTTTTTCCCCATCCATGAAGTCCTTTCAGACAGCAGTACCACGCTTTCAATATCGCTCACTACGTTGTAATTCAGTGGACTGATCCACCTTACTGCCTAAATCTGGGGGTAAGGGCCTTGTTGTTCATGCACAGAGCGATCGTTGCTGAAACACATGCTTGTATTTGATACCTATTCATAGAGAGCAATGTGAATAATATCGTGTCGGCTGTGTTCAAGCGTTAGTTATCATGAGCTCGATAGCCGCTGCTATACCCACGGGGCAAAGTCGGACCAGACTTGAAATTCGCCCAGTCGAGTACCCATGGCGGACAAGGAGGATTGAATTTATGGGATCTCTCTTGTGATTAGAATGGTATATCGTCATTATTTGTGGATGTTTGGCATACAGAGTTGAAGTCACACTGTGAGAGAGACCATGGAGACCTGCTCAGTCAATAGAACAGTTAAAGAATGAGCGTTGTAGAAACGCTGTTTGTCTACGAACGTTCGATTATGCTGAAATGCTTGTGACAAATATTTTGGACCATTGTGACTTAATGTCAATGTTTTTCTCAAACAGTTTTGTGGGTGGCTAGCGGTAAATTGAACTCCGCTCATCTCTTACTTCTTTTTCATTCTGCACCCCTAGATTTGCAAAGTACATTCTGACTTATTTCATTTTTCCATTTCTGGGAGGATCGCTTCCTTTTTCTGTGCTTCTGTTTTTCCAATTACCGCATGCAGCTTCAGTATTCCAGTATGGATAATTAGTTTTCTAAACTTTTGTATTTTCAGCCTATCCAATGCAGCAAATATACTACACCAATCAAGGTTACTAGTAGAGGATGTGGCCGCGCTGAAATTCAATTGGTCCATCGCGACACTAGTTCTTTTCTATCCGCTAAGAGTGTGACAGCTGTTACTAGATTTTGTGTTTCCTTATTCTTATCTGTATTCATTCAAAATTAGTGATGCCGCTCGAAATAGCTGTTAGTGATCTTCTGGGACGGTCACTGCGGCAGTTTAATTTTTCATTACTCTTGGGTGTTGCTCAACAACTCCGCTCTTAAATTATACAAGGAGACTTTGACTTTGAGACTATCCTTGCCTAAAAGCGTTGTTAAAATCCTGGAATAGTGGCTTCAATAGCGGTTTTGCTTATTTTCTGGGCTTGCTGCCTCAAATACAAGCATGATTTTAGCGGTAAGGGAGTCATGAGATTGAATGCATTGTGGTGAGTGACGTCTGAACCTTAAAAGCACGAGGTGGGCCGAAAAAATTAGAGTTGGCACTGGATTATTTACGAGCAGCGAATTGTCGAATTAACTGATTTTCCTATTTTATTGTCCAAGGTCCTGAACGCCATCGACGTTCAATCAAAGCCATATAACATGCTTTGGTGTTTATAATTCTTGGCCAGAGCCGTTTGTAAGCACGATCAGTTCCATCTGACGCCCCCGCAATGCTTAATTATAAGCTAAGTTGCATTAAGAAAATACCACTTACTTTCACTAAAGTTATGAGCGTGAAATGGTTATTATTTTTTTGGTCAAAGTGTATGGTATACAAATAGTCATGTTCACATTCAAGAATTTCATGAACTTCGACTATAGGTCAGGAGTTTTGTTACTTTGCGCTCTTCTCTCTTCTCTTCAAATCATTGAGACTTGTTGAATGGTTTAAGATATCGTCTTCTAGTAAAGAAGTTATAGAAAAAGAAATCACTTGAAGAGTAAAAGCATGGAATTTAGGGGCTCGTGTGATAGTTAGTGTTTAGCATGTTTTGTCGCTGTTACACATATCCCTTTTAAATCCCATCTTCGTTTCTTCACCTCTTAGTTACTGTTCTTGTTTCTGGCTTACGTCCATTATGTTTGTGAATGTAATTCGTAATCTGTTTATTACTGTTTCTTGCTCGGTCTCACACACGTTTCTTTTAATTTTAATCTATATTTTTCCTGAAGTGTTTGTTGCGTTATTTCTTATGAATATCTAATGCCGGGAGGAAGTGTCTTTCCTGAGTAGAATCGATTTTTACTTTTGGCAAAACATGGAATGCTGCTGGAGTACTTATCAGAAGGTAAAACCACAGCTTGCGGTAGTTCAAGTTGCTGTCGTTTTTCCTTAACATTTGTTGCAGAATAGTATATCAATGGCAAAAAAAGATGGGGAACTTTGCAGGAGCTCTCGAGCGTGAGGACTTTTTCAAATTAATTAATTCCTTTAGCCTTTCGAGATTATGACGTAAAGTTGTTTGCATTCATTGAGTTGCACGACCGGTTTTCAAGAATGCGGTCTATTGGAAAGAAATAACTGGTAATCAAACGCATAGAATGCTAGAAAGACCAAGTAGAAAGGGTTCCCTTGCCGTCAAGGTCTCGTTGACTATAAACAGAAGCATGTTTATTTGCAGTGCATGGTCAGTGTAAAAAACGAATTAGGGATGCGAGATGGAGAAAAGTCTCAATAAAACGACCCAGATGAGAACCAAGCGGCAACATGTGAGCGAATGCCAGTGCAGATTATTGGCCTAAAAACGGATCCATCACCTCTCAGAAGGACTAGCGGCTAATCTCATCTATGTGCGCTGTCGAACAATGGCTGTCAGTAGACAGCAGGCTGACGCCAAAACAGTAGGAAAAGTCAACACAACGGAACAAACTGGAGAAGACCTCTAAAAATCTCCCTTAAACAAGAATAGCATAAGCATAGGTTGGAACACTGGCAATCAGACAAGGCAAACTTATGAAATCTAATTTCAACAGTGCTCTTTTGAAGCGTGAGCTATCAACCAGTGGAAAATCCGAAGACAATTCATTCAACCATACTGATGATAATGATATTCTGTCGAAGAACTGTTTTCCACGTATGTTATTGGAGAATCGACTGTGATACATGGCTCTGGAAAATTCTATGTTGAAACACTGTCTTAAAAAGAAAAGATCGCTAAAAATTGGAGCGAGTAAGACGAGACTCACCTCTGAGCATCTTTAACCGCAAGTGTACGTACGCCTGCATAAAAGACTTCTCAAAACCAGCTCTCTAGGGCGTACCTGTGAGGCGACGTGAACCCAGGGAACCTGAAGTAACGTGGACATCCTGGACTTAGAAATACATGAAAGGAAACCGATCTTTCTAAAGCAATTTGCACTTCCTATCACACCCGCTAGTACGAGTTTTAATGATTCTCCAGACCTGGCTCAAATATTCAGGAATAGGATTGCATAAGTTTGTGTAGTTTAATTAGGATGATCAAGTAGGAGATCTTGGCAATCTTAAGCAAGCTGTACTAGCACTGAAGGGCCTTGGATACTACTATATGGAGTTCGCAGTTCATCGACCTCGGTACGTTTGCCCCTAGATCACGGCCATAACTAACGATACTAGAGAGAATCGCTCTACGACGGAATCAGACGCTATCTTACTCAGTGAAAGCACCCGAGTATTTTGCACACTTGAGTCTAAGACCCTATTCGTGAGTCCTTATGGGCATACGGAACAAAAAATCACTTACAAAGGCAGCTAAAACGGCGGATTGGCCTTTGACATAATCAGCAAAAGCGCACACGTTGATGTCGTGGACGTGTGTAAGCAGCCATGGAAAATACGTTTACATCAAGAATAGAAGCGGGGATAGAACACCACACTGTGGTAATCCAAGAAACAGTTTTTTCTTCTAAAAAGGTTCCATAGACATAGAAATTGAAGCCAAAATTAGCAGGGTAGGACTCGAGTTATTTCAACAAAGCTCTTCTACTTTCAAGACTATGTAGTTTTTTCGAGAGCCCTTCATGGATCACTGTATCAAATGTCTTACCAACAAGTCAAAGATCTCAAGACGAAGTGGCCATGAGACTTATACTGCTAGAGCATTTTCAAGTGCAGATTTCGAGAGTGCATTCCAACCTTGCCAAATTATTCTCTGAACGGAGTTATGAAGGGTGTTTCAGGTAAGTGCTTTACACATACAGATACTTGAGATATGAAAGTAACTGTGATCACAGCGGTGACTATGAGCAGTGGTAAGCGTGACGCTTCATATGAATGGTACCATACTTTGGTACTTTTATGGTCCATCGGCAGGAAAGTCTTCTCAAAAGGGACCACAGCTCCTGAATACCGCGCGATCTTACACGATTTGCCCAACGTAGCTTTCTACGGAATTTTTGGAAAACGAATTGGCTCACAGAGTCAGCAGACGTCTTGACGGTCTTGTTTCACCTCTTGGAAGCCACTATGTGATTCGGAGATTCCATTTGTCATCTGTTTAACGAAATAGATGACCGGCCCAGCGGTGCTTCGAATGTGCCATGTATTGAAACGTCTTTCGAACGCGATCTCTCCTTTAGATCTGAACTTCGCAAGCATTGCTGCCACTGTTGACTTCGAATGATTTTTAGAGAACTTCATTCCAGCGCGTGATGAGAGGCTCTTATGGCTTTGGTGATTGTTTTGCGTTCAGGCGACACTACAGTTGCTGGCAGTACTGAGGCGCTGAATGTCGATGCCTTGAGGTTGGGATCGCTGACCTGGTCTGTCACTTCACGGATTGAACCGAAAGCTGCCCATGCACCACGTCTTTCCCGATTCAGTTTTTGTTCCCGTGCGATGTTGTTCATCATGTTCAGCTCTCTTCCCGAATACACGTACAACATGCTACAGTCACATTTGAAAGTATCCCCCATGAGCGTAGGTAGAGGTCCAAAGCTTTCTATCGGTCTCCTCGCATGTTGCACGCAGATATCCTCCTCAATTTCTTCCCAGTCGTTCTTTAGTCTTGCTTTCTAAGACTCCTAACCGGGGCTGCGAGTTCGACAAGTCTTCCTCTAATCAGGGACCATTCTGAGGAGTCAAGTGAGTTAAGATCTAGAAAGCATGATGGCCATTCCTCTCCTCGCGTCGGCTGCCCGACTCTAAGGCGAGCTTGGCTCTGTGGGCTAGAGTATTGCCCTGCTGGAATGACTACGAGCTGTTTCAGTAAAGGGAGTTGGATCGGTACTTCATTATGTCCATCAGCATGCCCTTTAAGTACTGGTACTTGTCAATTTTCACGCCGGCACCGACTAAACCACGAGCGTCTTACCTTCGAAAGTGACCCTTCCGAAAAAAACCCATTCTGCCGTTCTTAGAGCAGCTTTTTTTTTGTGTGAGATTGCACGTTCGATATTTATAGCCAAGACGCGATTGTTTTATTTGTTGAGGAAAGGCTTTTTCGTGAATTTTTTTCCAGCTAAGGAAAACGATGCAGGGATGCGTGTCTCTTAAGCGAGTCAACAGCCTTCTGCATTTTTCCAGCATCACTTTCTCTTAGGGCCGGAAATAAATCGGGATTTCTGCATGCAATAAGAATGGCATTGAAGCCTCTGCCTGACATTCCGCCATTTCGACAACTCTTATAAGTCGTGGCCGGTAACCTCCTTTTAACCGTACCGCGTGCTTCACATGGTGCAGCGCGCCTTCAATCTCTGTTTCACCTTTTTTGTGCTCCAAAACGGTGAGTATACATATTCGACACTAGAGAGTAACATATCCTCACTATATATAAAGCGCTCGCGTCTGTTTGTTTGTTTGTTTGTTTGTTTG